CATTTTGTTGTTCACCACATAGTTCTATTCCTGGGCCCCTGGCCTGTAGGGCCCACCCTGCAGCCCTCCCCATTCCATTCCTAGTTGCTTAACCGTATCTGCAGGGCCCACCCTGCAACCTTTCTCATTCCTTTCTGAGTTGCTCAACCATATAGCGCCACCTTGGGCAACAGAGCAATAAGCCCCCAATTCCTTGTTAACTATGTCACCTTACTGCAATAAACAGTAAGTTTCTATTACCTTGAAATACAGGTAACCAGGTTACACCAACTCTAGCTCCCGGTTAAGAGACTCCCCCCTCACCTGTACCAATCCAGATCTTCCTTTACTAATGATATCACCAACCACCAATCAAGAGTGTACCCGTACTGGACCCTACCCTTCTTGCTTTCTGTACCCATAAAAACTGCCTTCACCCTGAGTTTGGGGCTCGTCCTAGGCTTGCATGCCAGGAGAGTCCAGGCTTCCCGAGGCCTGAAATAAACTCATCTCATGCTTTTTACATCGGAGTGTGTCTCGGACTGTCTGTGGGGATCTTTTGGGAGAATTTCGGGCATAACACTACAGCCTCCCTCCAACTCCACACTGCCACTCCCTGCCTTGCCAAGGCTTGGTTTGTGCCTCTGCAAAATGGCCACAAATCTTCCCCATGGCCGCCAAGGGATGAGCTCAGGGTCTGGTAGCACCAGGCCCACACCCAGGAGAGTCAGTAGATGGCCGTTCCCCTCACCCCTTCCTGGCCGGTGCCTTAGGCTTCCCACCTTTGCTCAGTCTCAACTCCACTTCTGTTATCCTTGTTAAGTCAAAGATAGAAAAACCTTCGGTATCCACTGGCTTAGAGACCCTAAATCACCATTTTGAGTGAAAAAAGAATCTTTATTTGTTCTTGGCCACACCAGTGACACTTTTGGTTGCTATGGTGATTCCAACACGCCCCTCTTGCAGATTAGAAATGCCTCACATTTTTCTAAGTCTGGCTGCCCCCAAACGAGGCCTCTGGCCAAGCAATTCCCATCCCCCAACAGGAAAGAGGGGCTGGAAATCCCTGGCGGCGGCATTTTCGGCTTCAGCTGTCAGAAGTGAACCTAACCTTCCTGTGGCAGGTCCTGGGTCAGGTCTGGAGATGATCCCAGATGCACGTCTGTATTTAGCTGTGCAATCTTCTGACCTCAGTGACACGCACGGTCAAAAAGGCCCTGCCCGTCCACGGCTTCTTGCAGAGGAAAATAGTTGTGTCCACCCCCTCAAAGTCTGTTTCTCCTTTGAGCTTTTTAAGTGTCACAAGCTGTTGAACTCAGTGGCACCGTGGCTTTGCGTCTGTCACACATGCACGCTCACTCTCTCTCCAAACACACTCCTGGGAGCTGTGGAGCTGATCCTCACGGCCATGCTCACGACACAGTGTCTTTCCTCTCCACCCTCCTCCCATCCCCACGAGACCGTCACACAGGTTCATTCCTTTAAAGGTTTATTTCTGGTGAATAAAAAAAAATAATTTATGCCATTAGATAAATTAATTTATGTGATTAGACATCATGACACAGGGCAGAGCTTAACCTTCTCATTTGCTTCTGATCTTGCCATTTGGTGAGAGGCAGCTGAGTGACACCCAGCCTCGAACTTTTTGGGATGGGCAGGGGCTGACCAAATCACTCCCACCACACAGCGATGCTTCATGGGGGGCTGAGGTGGGCTCAGAGTAAGGCCGAATCCAAACCTCCTTTTTATAGAAGAGCAACAGCTCTTTGTAGTGTTTTAAAGTATCAGTCCACAGAAGCTCTGTCACACACTCATTCCTGACAACAGAAACCTAACATGCCAAGCACAAGTTCAGAAAGATGGAATCGTCCTGGGAAATTTTAAACATGGTACTTGGGGACCCCTTTGGGAAAGATACCTTCTTCCCCGCAGAGGTCACCTCTTGAGGCCAGCACTGTGGAGAAGTGAGACTTGAGCCACTAGCACAGCTGTCAACATCTTTTGCTTTCTGAACTCTGGGTGCTATTGCCTTACAGCCTTAAGTGAACATTTTCTGTGGATTTCTTGGGTCTGGTAAGGCTCTTGGAAGCAGCTAGCCCCTTGGCCTACAGAGGGTACGTCTCCTCCAGGAATCTGAGAGTAGAATATGCTGGTAGTCTGTGCTGGGGTCTTAAGGCCAGAATCTCTAAGTTAAGAGAAGATTTGGGGGACCACCTGCTGAGGAGGAAGCTGAGGCTCCTCTGTGAGAACAGAGATCGCAGCTCAACCACCACCTCCGCCCTGTACCTGATTTTTTCATGAGCTTTTGGCCTTGGAATCACTTTGAAGGTGGGGTTCATCTTGTAGGTGGTGGTGAGGTTTGTCTGTTTTTGTTTTAAGACAGGGTCTCACTCTGTTCCCCAGGCTGGAGGACAATGTCTTCATCATAGCCCATAGCCCACCTCAGACTCCTGGACTCAAGTGATCCTCCTGCCTCAGCCTCCCCAATAGCTGGAACTACATGCATGTGCCACAGTGCCTGGCTATTTTATTTTTATAGATAAGGTCCTATTATGTTGCCCAGGCTGGTCTTGAAGTTCTGGCCTCAAGTGGTCTTCCTATCTCAGCCTCCTAAAGTGACAGGATTACAGGCATGAGTCACCATGACTGGCCTGCATTATCATTTTTTTCCTATCAATTAAGAATAGGTTTAACTCATTGATTGATAAAGCACCCAGAAAGTGGCCTATGAGAAGCTCAGAGGGGTTTTCCATAAGACAAGTATCCGCAGGCAAGGCCACCGGTCAGGGCTGGTACAGGGGGCTCACTCCGTAAGGCCCATGTGCAGACTGCAGGCTGGGCAGCTGCCTCTGTAGCCGACCTGGAGGCTCTTGACAACTGCCCAGAGAGCAAGATGCTTGCTCAGACTGCCAGGGCCACACCTGACTGGACACCAGCAAAGTTTAAACAAGGGCTGTTTGCTTAGCCAAACACAGCCTTAGCATTCTTATCCAAAGCTTTTTGCAAGGCCGAAATCAAGCAAAATCCAAATTCTCCAATCACTGGGCAGTTCCGAAATCCAGTTTAGCTTTTTCTTTTGACAATCAGAAATAGTGATTTCTCAGGACGAAGATCAGCCCAAGGATTCAAAGCCCAGGGCCCGTCCTTGCGGGGCAGAGGGAGGAGAGAAGGGATACCTCCGCATACCTGCTCCCCCTTCACCCGGACAGGGATGCATTTCTATGATCCAGACCTGGGACCACGTTTATCCCTAAACCATCCTCTTACTAGGTGCTTTGAAATTAAAGTCCACACCCCAAAAGGCAACTTGAACCTACATTATTTCCATTTGAAGAAGAACCGGAAGCCCCCCGCCTCAACGCCACCCAGGAACACCTGCAGTTGTGCTTATTTAAATAATGCCCAAAGAACAGCCTTTTGCCATTTTATAAAATGAGAAAAGACCAGGCTGGCCACGAAGCTATTCATATACACACGCAGGTGGACACGGAAGGGCCAGGTGAAAAACCAGGACCGCACCAGGCGATGACTAGACACCAAAGCTCCTAGCAGTGGAAAACTCAGGACAGGAGGGTCTTCATATAGGTCTTACAAAAATACTTTCTTCTGTGCCTGTTCTTTCAAGGCAGAAAGGACAGGCCTTTCCATTTGGTTTGTCTCTGGAGGTTTTTCTGGTATCAATGCAGTAGAGGTTTTAAATGACTATGAGGCAGGAATGAAGAACTCAATGCCTGCCCCTGCCTTGCTCCTGGGAGGACAGGATGTAGCAGGGGACGGGCAGAAGGGGACAGGGGCAGCTGCCCTGGGCACTGCATAAAAAAACAGAGGGGTAGGCTGGGCTGTGGAAGGGCTCTCCAGGGTTCTGGTATACGAACCATCAGGACACCTTGACTGTGAACCTTTGGGTCTGACTCTTTTGTAAAGAGTCTCAGCAAGCACCCCATGCCCATCCTCAGTGTCCCGCACAGCAGGCATGAATTCTATGAGCTCCACTCCAAGAGGGTGAGCCAAGAGTTTGACTGGAGAGGCCAGAGGGCTCTAGCTGCTCCCCTCCGCTTTAGAATCAGTACCCCCATACCTTCACTCCCCACACACTCTCTCTACTTGCTTTTCATTTACACTGTATTTTCTCTAACTTTACCCTGGAAAACACATCTCGTATGTGTAGCACTTACAATTACCTTATAAATGTGGGCATCTGCCAAAAGTTTAACTATATATTTTAAAACCATGACACGGGCTAGGGTCTGCTGAGACAAAAATCACTGGGTAGGGTCTAAAGGTGACGTCTTTTGAGAACCAAAGCACCGACCTTTCCCCTGGGTGGAATTTTGAAGGGGCAGTGGCTGAAACTCAAGATGGGATGCTGTAACCACTACAGAGAAGTGGAAGATGATGGCCTTTACCACTTGGCAGGTTTGGAAACCATGTACCTCCACTAACTCTTGTCTTCCCCTCATGGATTTTTCGTAAAAGACTCTCGTTCTCTGGCATTGAGATCTATCCCACAAGCCACTCATCTTCCAGGTACTGTCTTGGGTAAAGGCTCAGATTAAAGGTAAATTCAAGGTCTTAAAATGTCCTTTTCAGGAAGAAGTCTCCAAAAGGAAAGGGGAAAAACATGACACCCTGGAAACGTAGCACCCAGAAGGACGACTCTGAAAATGGCAAATGTCTTCACTTACATGATAATAAAACTACCTTGTTGAAGGTCCACATTGATTTTAGGATGCATCTAGATTTTAGAGCTATTAAGACAGAAAAAAATCATCTTGGGATGGAAGGCAGGTGACAGATTTTTAAACAGATGTCTTCCAATCCTGAATTCTGACCATTTGAGAGCAGAGAAACCCCTGTGGGACCCGAAGATGAGTCACTGCGGACGTTCTTAACTCCAGCCGAATCCCGGCCCTGAACACTTCAGAGGCGGGGTGTTGTCCTGACTGTCACCTGGGAGACATGGCTTTGGGTGGATGAATCTCTGTGAACTGAAACAGCTTCTGCAGAATAAGGAGCCCACATATTTTATTACAGCCCCCACTCACCACGCCTGACAGCCTCCCATAACTCTGCCCTTTGGATTACGGAGGAAAAAAATAATTGTTTGATTTTCTGGGCCACGGAATACAAGAAGGGTCTAGATTGTACAAGGAGCTTACACACTGGGGCAAGAAAGCGTGCAAACCGGGGCAGGGATTCTGCAGCCCCTGGGTGAGCCAGCGCTCCAGACACGGAAGGAGGGCCTCAGCCACCCTTCCGGAGTCCACACCAGCTTGTTTTTCTGTCTTTTATTAACCATGTCCAACTCCAACTTCCATCTTCTCCCAAGAGGGAGAGAATACCTATGAAGATTTATGACATCAATGACTTCCTCCAGCCATTATTTTTTGCCTATTACAATTTCACAAAGTGGCCCAGGAGCAGGCCTGGAGACGACCGAGACACAAAAGCAAAGTGTCTGAGAACGACATAATACTGACTTCTCGTTTTTGGTAACAGTCCACGAAACAGGTGCCCCTCTCTCCTGAGACACGGTGAGGCATGAGGGGAGGCGGCGGAGGAGCTGTGGGTGGGACACTGTACCGTGAGACATCACGTCATGCAGCTGGAGCCACGGGACAGAGATGTGAGAACAGGTGCTCGGGGCCCCGGGCTCACCCCAGGGGGCAGTGCCCAGCCTCTCAGGAGCACTGCTGTCCAGTTCAGGCAGAGACGGCCCCTGGGGCTCGCCATCTTGGCTTAGCCCTCGTCCTCCCTCAGCTCCGTGGGTAAGAATTTATACTGCTGCTGGCGGATCTGAGCCAGTTTTTTCCTTGCTTCTTCCAGTTCTCGTTCCTTCTTTAGCATCTCTTCCTGGGCAGCAATGATCTAGAAAGAAAGCAACAAGCCGGATGGATCTGAAACTTCCTAGGAACCCCCCTGCATGTGTCATGTGCCCCCATCAGCTCTGGTACAGGGTCACACAGCAGCGTACCAGATACAGCACCCTTGCCCTGGAGACCATCCTCCTTGGCATAGTTTGGGTTTTGAGACTCATGACCCAGCTGACCCAAGAAAACAAACTGCCTCTGGGCCACCGATTTACCAGCAAACATCTACCACACCCCTATGTAGCACTTCGCATGGACTGTCCTGTCCCCTTCGCATCAATACTGTGAGGTACCCCTATTAAAGTCCTCTTTTTTTCAATAAGGAGTCTGAAGCTGAGAAACATGGGTCTGCTCTCACCTAGCCAGTGACAGAGGACCTGGCCCAGGTGTGCTTAAAGCTGAAGCTGGTACCTTAACCACTGGATGGCCTTCATCTGTTTCATGCTCCTAAGGCCTGGTCTGAGGAATACTAGCTAACAGGTATTGTGTGAAAAGGGTAAGTCTGTCAAGAAAGCCAAGTCAGACCCCTCCACGTTAGGCCCCTTCCCGGGGGCTTTTTCAGAGCTTTTTCTAGGCTAATGAACACTGCTATTAAGGTGAGGGTATTAAGTGCAGAGTTTCCCATACTTATTTAATCAGAGATCTTTTGTATTAAGGAATACATTCTGGCAAAAATACATCCTGTGTACAGCCCAGCGCAGGAGGGGGTCAGAAAGAGCAAAGAAGGCATGGGGAACGTTCCTGGTGCTGATAAGATACCAGCACGTATCCATGATACGAGACGGACACACATCAAAAACTGCAAGCCCGATTACCTGGAGGTTCCTCCTCACTCCCTCCCCTTATTTTTCTAGAAGTCCAGGGAGAGGACTCTCCCTAGGGCCAAATGTCTGGAGTGGCAGGTGCTTCAAATGCATCATTTTATTCAATTTATTATATTGCCACCCTCCAACTTTTGTTCTTCTACTTTTTCTGTAATAGTATCTTTGATTTTTAGCTAGGTATATGCTACTTCAAGAAGAATACTCCATTTCCCTGCCTCCTGTGCAGCTAGGATGGCCGTGAGAGGAAGTGAAGTATGGGACATCAGGGTCAGGCCCTCCCTTCTTTTCCCTCCTCCGGCTAGATGGAAAGCTGAGGTGGTTACTGAGCCATCTCGGACCAAGTGGCCAAGGGCAACATCTCAGGGACGGTGGAGTACTAAGGCAGATGGAGCCTGGGTCTTAGCCATGAAGGAGACACCACACTCTCCCAAGCCTGCTTTCACTCAGACTGTTACACGAGGGAGAAATAAACGTTCATTTTGTTTAAGTCACTGTTATTTTGTGTCTCTGCTATAACACAATACCCATCTTGGGAGTGAATACTGTTCTGGATTTAAGAACAAACCTGGGCAATGCCCCCCACAAACTTTGTTTTCACTACGACATCGTCATCATCAGCTTTGCCAAATGCTGCCTTCTGGGCTGCACGAACAAGATTGTCTGAGGCTCTTTTCACGGCATTTCCTGCTGCCTGGAGAGTGAACAAAACATACATTGTATCATTAGAAACAGTTGTTGGGACTGGCAAGAACAGACATGAAGGTGCAGTATAGGATACCCTCAGTCAACTCATCATCCAATTGTAACACAGACGCTCTCCCCAGACAGCAAGTGTCCATCTGTTTGTCCATTCATCTGTCCACCTACTGATTCTACTAACACTGGCACCTACCTAACTACTGCTCATTCTCATAAAGAGACACAGATTATGTGTCCGAGGAACACAGGCTTTTGAGGGGAATTACAGTCACGTAAGTGAATGATTGCTGCGATATGAGTGTGTTACCAGAACTAGGCTTGATGGTTGCCTCCTAGGAAACTGCCTGGCCCCCATCCAATTTAGCACATGCTTGAGGGCTGGCTCAGACATCACTTTCTCCTGTCCGCCTGGGCCCTACCACACCCTCCCCCTTACTCCCTTCCTGGATAGTGAACATCCTGAGGGTGGGAACCTGAATCTTTGCACCCCCAGCACCCGCCTGGCATAGTGGCTGCCTGGACTTGGTGCTCCCTGAAGGCTTTTGGAGGGAACGAGGGGTTATGAGAGCACAAGGGACACATCTACTCCATGTGGAAGGACTGGGAGCCTTGTGGTAACTGGGCCTTCACAGATGTACTTTTTGAGTCACAGCTTTAGGCTGCAGGCTCCACGATTAAGGTGACCAGATTTTAACATTGGTAAAGCGGGACACCATTGAAGGGGGGGGGGAGGGCAAGGGCAGGGCCTGACAACAATGCAAACTTTGATAAGCAGTTCTCGATAATCAGTTCTCAACAATTATTTGTTATTATTACAGTTTAACATTATAAAATTAACAACAATAGTATAAAACTCATATTCTGGCAAAATAGCCACATGGCAGCTGAAAACTGTATATTCCCTTCCTGTTCTCCCGCCTGTTCGTGCATTCTTTCCAAAAATCAGGACTTTTTAAAAATGCTGCGGGATGTGGGACAAATTGTTAAAAAGCAGGACGTCTGGTCACCCTATCCACAATGGGGCAAATAATAGAGACCAGTGAAGAAACACCTTCTAAGTCCAGGTTGTCATTTGAGGGCTATCACAAAGCATGGCCCAGGAGACTTGTTCTCTGCTAGCTGAGGTTTAGAATTTTCCTCTAAAAGTGGTTAAGATTTCATTAAACCTCTGTGTTCTTTGTCCAGACTCCTTCTGAGTAAAGGGCTTGTGCTTGAAGCTTAGCCACCAGAAAGGTGAGAGTTCTTCCCACTCAAAGTTAATTGGCCAAGTGACCAAGGGGAACTGTGAGGGCTTGGACAGGAAGGGAAGGGAGGCCGGGCACCAGGGCTCATGCCTGTAACCCTAGCACGCTGGGAGGCCAACCCAGGTGGATTGCCTGAGCTCAGGAGTTCGAGACCAGCCTGAGCAAGAGCAAGACTTTGTTTCTATCAAACACAGAAAAACTAGCCAGGGGCTGCAGCATTCTGTAGTTCCAGCTACTCGGGAGGCTGAGGCAGGAGGATCACTTTTGCCCAGGAGTTTGAGGTTGTTATAAGCTCTGATGACGCCACAGCAGTCTACCAAGGGCGACAGAGAGAAACTGTGTATAAAAAAAAAAAAACGGGAAGGGGAAGTCAATCAGTATTTGACGTGTAGTCACCATGCTTATTTGCCTGAGGCCTTATAAGGTCAGAAATTACTGGCCTACTTTTCTGATGTGAAAACTGAGGTTAAGGACCTGAGATCCTTAGCCAGTACATTTCAGTGCTGGGATCTGAATGTAGGTCCGTCCGGCTCCAAAGTCTTTTTTAAGGGGCTGAGACATAACATTGCAGCAGCCAGGTGTTCAGTAAGGATGACACCAGAGTGATGCTATGCTATACTTGCATAAACCTGTGAGCCTTAAAAATGCACTTCCACATCAGATACCTTATGGGACCCTCATAAGAGCCCCTGAGAATATCTCTGTCCTCATTTTACAGATGAAGCTATTAAAGCCTGAGAAGTTTTGAGTGACTGATGTAAGATCATGTACCTAATACATGGCAAAAACAGAACTTGAACCCAGGTCTCTCTCTTTTTTTTTTTTTTGAGACAGAGCCTCAAGCTGTCACCCTGGGTAGAGTGCCATGGCATCACAGCTCACAGCAACCTCCAACTCCTGGGCTCAAGCGAGTCTCCTGCCTCAGCCTCCCAAGTAGCTGGGACCACAGATGCCTACCACAACGCCTGGCTATTTTTTGGTTGCAGCCGTCAGTGTTGTTTGGCGGGTCTGTGCTGGATTTGAACCTACCACCTTAGGTGTATATGGCTGGCGTCTTAGCCACTTGAGCCACAGGCGCTGAGCCCCAGGTCTTTCTTAATTCAGAACATTTTCCTCTGAATTGCCCCTTCAAACCCAGGAGTTTCACTAATGTGCAGCTCCTCAATTTTCCCCGGAGCTTATTCCAGGGGTCAAATGAAGGTGAGGAGAGTAGGTTAGGGAGAGAGATTCAGGGGGGCCAGACAACAGAAATACACTTTAGGCCTTGCAAAATAAAACTCAAGTTGAGTTTTGGCAGAACTGTCCAAACATTTCTGCCATTTGTAATTTTCCTCCCTACTTATATAAACAGATATTTTTAGCAACATCAACAATCTGCATTTATAACATTTATAATAAAAATCTAGAAATAAGAAACTGTCCACAGTATACTGAAATTCTGGCATAATCAGTTGATACAATATCATGCAATCATTAAAACTGAAATTCATGAATAATGGACCAGTTAGCTTTGCAGAGAGACATTAATGAAACCTTGTCATCAAGGAAAAAAATATGCATGATAAAATATTAAGTGAAAAGTAAGCAAAAATGTATCTTGCTATGGTTACAACTAGACAAAACTATGCTGCATGTAGATAAAAACAGGAACGGATAAGAATGATAGCATTTGATGGGTGAAGATGTTTAAGCCATGGGATGTATTTATGCAAACATTTCTTCCATTGTGTTTAAAATTGTTTTATAATGAAAATAATCAGGAAGATGTGTATGCACTGGGAAAGGTTGATGTTACCTTCCCAACGAGCCCTGGGCTCTGGGAGACCTGGGTGACAGTCTCATATAAATCCCTCCGGCCTTTCACTCCCTTTGTTGCAAACATGGGTGGAGGCCTCCTCTGAAACAGGCGTCACAGTAGGTGTGAGAGACATACAGATGAAGATGTGGCACCTGCCCCTAGGCAGCTCACAGTCTGGTCACAGGCAGACATAAAAATAAGTGTGGTGGTTCCAGGTGATGGGAACCATAGAGTGGTCTGGTCAGGAAGTGCTGTGGGGCTGAGGAGGAACTGGCTGCTCAAGGCTGGGAGTCAGGGAGGCCTCCCAGAAAGGATGACTTTGTAGATGAGTCACAAAGGACAAGTGGGAGTTTGCCAGGCTGGGCTGGTGGGGAGGAGGACTGGGACATTCTAGGTGAGTGGGGACCTCAAGGCATGAGACCAGAGGTACACATGGCAGATGTCAGCTTGGTGAGGCAGCAGGTGGAGGATGCATGGACACACGTGGTAGAGGATGAGCTGGAACGCGGGACAGAGGTGGCTGATGGAAGGCCTGGTGGGTCATGCCAAGGAAGGGAGGCTGTGCCCTTTGCTGACACTTACCCGCTCCAACAGGAGTATTTTCCCACCAGCATCAGTGACCATTACCTGTAGCCGCCTCATGGCCTCTGAATCCTGGTCGGCCTTCACCTTGCAGGCCACAAGCAGCTGAGCCGTGGAAGCGGCGACCTGCTTGGCGGATGAGATGAGCTTCTCCTCACTGGCATGTCCCTGAACGGAGGCATTGGCTGCCTCACAGAGGCTGCTGGTTGCAGCCGCCACCATCCGGGCCTGGGGACAGTCAACAGAGAAGTGACCTAAGGCCCAAACCTCCCACAGGGGACTGAAAAAGCAAATGGGGAGGAGGGAGAAGGTGACTCACGGCAGAAATCAGCCCCTGTGACCACTGTCCGTCGTCTGCAGCATTGGCAGGGATGGAGCCCACCTAGAGAGTGGAATCAAAAAGTTGGCAATGAGGGCAGCAGCCCAGGTGACCCACAGCCCCTCAGCTCTGCCTTGCCCTAGATCGAGACTGATAGCGGTGATGCCCCCAACAGCACTGGCCTGAGAATGGAGCAACCCTTTCTCATACAGGACCTGGGCATAGCACATCCTGGCTGGTGTCCACCTGGGCTAGAATGAGAGATGCTCAGAATAGCTCCCCTTAGCCGCCAGGTGCTGTTTCTGGGAAACAGTTCAGGAACAATGGTTTGGGGCTGTCTTGATAAGCTCCTTCCTCTGCTGACCTCTCTCCATTTCAAACATGGGAGCCACGAGGCCACCTCTGTCAAGGGGCAAGGGAATCTTAAATCACTCCTGATTATTGACCCTGAAAGCCACGCTGTGAGTTTCTGTCAGAGAATGCTTATAAGAGGGTGGTCCATCTCCCTCCCTGCAATTGAGGACATACCCTTGTCTTACAGGAATACAGACCATTTTGTCAGGGGTGGGAAGAGAAATAAGAGGCTGGAAGTAAAATGGATGTCTGTTTCGATTTAGAAATCAAGGCAAAAAATGAAACATTTTCTGTCCAGATCTGGAAGGAGGAGATACCTTTACGCTGGTGGGACATGCCTGGCAAGATAAGAGATGAGTATTTCAATTTGAACGTGAAATCGAAGATCTGTCAACAATTACAGGCACCACACCAGGGCTTGCTGAACGGCAGATAAAACCCCAAGGCCCTGCATATAATCTTATAACTCACCCAAGTCCAGTTGAACCTCTTTACCTACTTAGAATGCTAGAGCATCTAAGTCCCTTGGAAGACAGGCAGGGATTCTACCATATTCCAAGTTAGATTCTCAAGTTATCTACCGTGATTCCTCGAAAATAAGACACTGTCTTATATTCATTTTTTCTCAAGAAGACACACTAGGGCTTATTTTCAGGGGATGTCTTATTTTTATTAAGTATAATACAACAATCTACATTTATTCAAATATAGTTAAGTCATCTTCTTCTGGAACCTGACGGGGGAGCTGACCTTGTTGGTGGGGCTGGCGCTAGTGATGCGTGAACTCCTTTCCCTTAGCCGTTGGCATGTGCACAATAGGATGCCTGCCACCATGGTTTCCACATGCACACCTGCGCAAGTGCGAATGGCTCGGAGAAAGGAGCTGTGGCAGATAAAAGGTATTCCAGTCTTCCTTACCGCTCTGCCTAAAATGCATGACGTGGCTATGCAGATACGCTGCATAGCCACGCCCATCACTAGGTCTTGTCGGCATAGGGCTTCTATTTAACAAATGCATAGAAATCCTGCTAGGGCTTATTTTGGGGGTAGGTCTTATTTTCAGGGAAACACAGTAGCAATGTATGTGTCTGATGCACATTCTGCCCTTCATCACTGCTGAAATTGGAATTTTTAGGTAGGATATTCTGGTCCATGACTGATTTGTGGCCATGGTATGCTAATCAGTCAGTAAGAACTTGGTGAGTACACATAACAAGGTCAGCATTCTTCTGCCTTACTCTCATCTAGAAGCATGAAGATGAGAAGCATAAAAAGTCAGCTTGTGTGCTGAGTGGGGAGATGGACATAGACAGCACTGAGTTAGATACCACAGAATGCTTTAAAAGGAGGAGTCAAGGTATATGGATTGGAATGAGTCACAGCTATGCTCACAAGACACTTCCAGGAGGAAGATGCATAGCCACTGGTCAGGCATAACTTCCAGTCTGTACTACAAATGCTTAGGCCAAGACACAATCATATCCCTCTGTCGTGCACTAGCATCAAAGACCTTCTAATATCAAACAGAAGTGACCGATAAATATGGTGGCCAAATTTCCAAACCCACAACCTAACAGGGTTCTGTAGAGCCTTTTTGAGAGGCTCTCTGCAGACCACAGTTTGTAATAAAGGACATGAGGACTATTTCAAGATGGAAGGTTGTTCCATGTCCAGAATTAGTAATGTACCAGTAACCATCTGAATCACTTAAGAAAAGCTATGCTCTTATGTTCATGTAGATGGACTAGGTGCCTGGAGATGAAGGAGATCACAGAAATCTCAGATTTACAACCAGACCGGCCTTCTGACCAACAGGTTCAGGAAAGTGCTCACCACAAAACTGGAGAGCATTCAGCTCATCAGTCCTAAAAATAAACAGCCACTTGGAGTTGGAAAGTGGTAATACATAGAAAGCCTCTGACTGTGACGCTCACAGAGCATCTACCGGGAAACTAAGACAGTTTACATCTTTATAAATAGTCTGCTGTAGAGTGGGAATATGAATGTCTCGTCCAGGCCCCGATCACTGCCTGGAATGGGATGCTTTCCTTAATAAGAAACATATGAGAGGCCTGGAAGCTAAACCTTTTATTCTGCTGGGCAAGTTTAAGCAAACAGAGTTTTCAGGTCAGGGCAAAGGCCGGCCTCAGGGAGAGAGGGGACAGCATGCGTTTCCTTGGCCCTCGAAGGCTCTCCCTATGTCAGCATCTCGCCACTTGGCTTGTGGCTTTACCCACCTTTCCTTGGGCTACCAGCTCCCTCTGGGCTGCTGAGGCTGATTTGACCAGGGCACTTGTGGCGGCAGCAATGGATTTAGCAGCTTCCAAAATCTGTTCCTCAAAATCCAGGGTCTCATCTGCTTGCTACAACCAAAAGAAAACAGTATCACATTCAATTCATGTTCACAAAGGCCCAGACTACTTCCTGCTTGGCCACCTGGCTCTCCATCTGCCTACGGCCTTGTGCTCACAAATGACACCAGGGTAGGCCTAAGCGGTCAGGGTGCCTTTCCACTTGCCCCCTTTCCCCAGCTCCACAAGGCAAAACCTGTCACCTTGACGTTATACACAAATTTTAAATTAGGAAACTCTAAGACTATTTTTCTAGAATAGGATCTTAAAGGAATATGAATTCACTGTACATAAAATATACTCAGATGGTTTCGGCGACTTCTATAACCGAAATCAAAATAATCAATAATCAAAATCAAGGTCACGGCACACACTTTCAGAACTTAAGACTCAAAATACGTTGAGGAAAGGAAAGACGACTGTTAGTTTTGAAAAAAGTCTTACTGTTCTGCAGTAAAAATCAAAGGCAAAGAGCTCTGACATCTCTGAGGGTGAACACAGATCAAGTTCTATACCAAACACAGACCACCCAGAGGTGGAAAAGAAATCAAGGCAACATGACATCAAGGTGGAGATTGTTCAGTCACCTGGACACCCAAGGCATGGCTTCATCTTGGGAAGAACACTGGACACAACTGCATGAATGTCAGGTCATTCAGTTCTTTTTTTTTTTTTTTTTTTTTTT